TGATTGTCAAGAAAGATGAGATGAAGACGCGTTTTCAGCTGGCAAGGAAGAATATGGAGAGCAGAGCAACTGATGAGCTGAGGTTGTTGTCCTCTAGTCTAGCAGACAAAGTCCGGGGGCCCGGGTTCAATTGGGATATTCCTTGCTCACGTCGAGGCTCTTTCCCACTCTATCGTTGGTGGAATCAATGTAAATGGCTAGACAAGCCTGAAGAGGGGTTCAAGTCGACACACATGCTCTCGAAAAGACCAATGAAGGCGGGGCAGATGGAAGAGTTGGTGGAGAATCCGAAATTACCACATGCAGTTTTTCATGTGGGCTTGAGTAACGACATGTAAACAACAGAGCATCACAATAAGCTGAAGCAAAAAGACAAAAAACCGGAGAATGCTTCTTCAACAGCCATCACAGAAACAGAGTCCATACCAGCGAACCAGCGACACACGCTGAACCGGTGTACTCGTACTCGGTACTTTTTTTTTTCTTCATGCACGCGTCTTAGCGTCTCACCAACCAAGGATATCAACTAGCTGCAAGCCTTGTGCCGGGGGAAGGCTTTTGGCGTGTCATCTTCGTGAAAAGTCTGGGGGGTATCTGGTTTGCGCCGACAAGGGTATCTTCGGAGAATGCAACCGCAGGGAACTATTCGCATAAGAGGGGCGGAAGTTGCGGCAATTGCGAGCGACGGCACCAAAGGATTGGTTCCTGGCGCGCAGAAGCGAGTAAAACCACAAAGCCGCAAGGGCCGGGGACGCCAGGTTTCGCCTGTTGTTGGTGGTGGGCGGATGTTTGTTGTGGTCGTTGGTGGCGGCCATGCAATCTCGTTATCAAACCTTAAATGCAGGTTGGGTAAGAGGGCATGGACGGCTAATTTGCCTGCCCCTCCTCCCGCTTCAATTTTTCACCATAAACAAAACAAGACGCAGTGAGACGGGCGGAAAATCATCCTGGGGCAGTTGCAGATCCTTACCAGCCGGAGCTCGCCATACGCAACATAGAGAAGCGTGGCTGTGGCGGCGACAAGGAAACGCCTGGTGCAGAGGCTGAACACCTGTTTGTTTGGAAATTGGTGTAAGAGAGCTGTGTGCTCCACCAACAAGCCACGACGGCCAATCGACCTAGGTGACGATTGGCTCCAGCCAGAGAGATTGTCGTTGGTCAGCTCGAATCGGAGACGATGCCCGCCAATTCTTTGTCACAAACGACGCTGAACAGTCTGAACAAGCGCAAGGTTGAAGGGCGATGAGGAAAACGTCGATTCCCGCGTCGCACAGAGACTCTTGGCGCCACCACGGACTGTGATTGGACAGCCTCACCCGATTGGCGAATGTCTCAAAAGGGACGCATCCGATATTGACACATTAGAACCCGTTGAAGCGTTGACCACTCATTCGTCTTCAATCTCTTTCCGGATCGCCTCTGGTTGTTAAATTTCTCAGGCTATTGAAGCCCTCTTGGGCACCCAACGCAGATCTCAACACGAGTGCTCCGGACTTCTGGCTTCAATTTCAGTACCTCGTACCCAGATGACCTGCGTTCCCTGTCCGCCTATCATCCCTCTGGGCTGTCGCTTCATAAAGCCCTGTACCGCAAACAGGGATCTTGCTCCGAGTCTTTCTATTTTCCTGAGACATGCATGTGTGTCTCACAGGGACTTTGGACCCGTGTGAGAACATTCCTCCAGCGCCGACGCTAGAACTACGAGTAACGCCATCCCATACCAATTTACCAAATCAGGATCGTATCCCCAATCCTATCTTGTTGCGGCAACCTCTTGCTCCATTTGCCACGACTCCTCTCTCAGCTCATTGAAGCGGCTGGACTCGTCTGTGTACATGGCCTCGACGCTCTCTTCAATATCCTTCACGGCGTGTTCAAGGCTGCCCAGCAGCCGCTCAATTTCGCCCCGTTGTCCGCAGACTGCTTCCCTCATGACTGCATTCTCTTGCTGCGACTTTTGTAATCTCGTGTTCAGTTCCTCGGTGGCTTGTTGCAGGTAAGGTGTGAGGTGGGCAGAGTACAATTCGTCTGCGGATAAAGTGTGCAATCTATTTTTTATTTTTCATGGTCAGTTGTGCCATACCGGACAGAATCGCCTGTTGCGGCTCGCTCGCTCACGCTCTCTCTGGCATCTCGCCTTCCACGGCGCGATGTTTCTTCCTCCTCGCCTCATCGACCATGTCATCCCACTGGTTCAAACCCGCAATGACCTGTCTCTCCTCCAGAATCTTTTCAAAGTCGCGCATGCACTCTTCCTCCAGGCGCGTGTTCAACTGTCGCCAGACCCCCTCGAGCGCCGTCGGACAGTGTTTCGCGGGCGTCGGGAAACACGAGCTAAAGTTCGCGTACGAGTTGGCCTTGAGGGACGAGGCCAGCGCGCCGGCGAACACCTTTTGTAGTGCCGCCGCGCGAGGTCCCGGTGCGCTTGCGACAGGTGCTTCTGGTGCGGGCGAGGGTGAGGCCGAGGCTCGCAGAGCCATATTTGGTGAGGTGGGACTTTTCGCCTGTATGTCGTTCTTTGGCGATATATCTGATTTCTATTCAAAATTATACAACCGCCATTGTCTTGTATCTCAGAGTGGAGAAATCAAACATCAAAGTCGCCGTCAAAGTGAAAGGCAATTGAGTCGCGCCAACTCGGCCGAAGAGTAAACATGCCAAGACCAATTCAACATCATTCCACCCGCCTCACTGCACACCCGCACGCCGCGGCCGCCAGACTGCGCTGATGGTTATGCACGAGGTATTCGGTACATGTGAACCTCTCAATGATCTCATTCATAGTACTTCCATTGACTCCTGTCGTTCACATCCCTCGTGTTCAATCTTGGGTCCCGTTATCCTCCAAAAATAGGTATCACATGTCCTTCGTGTCAAATGTCGCCTTGAGCGGGCCTTCACTGCCCATCTCCCTCCAGGCCCCTCATTATATCCACCGTCTGAGCGATCGCCCTCGCCAACTCCGTCCCTTTTTCCCAGATATCATTATGTTGGCCCTTCAATTCAATGACTGTGCAATTAATCGCCGACTCACTACCAGCAAAGACCTTCTGCATTGCCTCGACCTGCTTCCAATCCACCCACCCATCGTCCTTTGAGTGTGCAATGACCAAAACCCTCTTCTTTGTCCCAGCAGCTGCCCAGCCATCCACATAGTCCTTTGCATTATACCTCGCAGGGCTGGCAAGCACATCATCCGCCTCATTTGGGATGGCATTCCTTGTCAATCCGATATAGTCCGAAAACGACTCATGGATGAGCGGGTAATCATAGATGCCCGAAACACCGAGTACTGCCATGGGTGGTTCAATCTTGGGCAGCTCAGATGAGTCTCCTTTGGAGAACGATCGGTGTGCCGCAATAGTGCTCAGCATGGCCATTGTGGCGCCCACACTGTGTCCCACAAGCAAATAGCGCTCCCCGAAGCCATATTTGTTTTGTAGATGTGCGATGGCGGTGAGTACGTCGTGGATATGATCCGGCCATTTGGCATTCCGCAGCTCGTACGCTGGTGTTTTGTTTGGGTCCTGAGGCGCCTTGTCCTGGTGGGGTGAGAGACGGTAGTTCAATGACGCATATCCCGCAATGTAAGGCGCAACCGCTGGCACATGCTCGTCATGTTTGAGAGGATTATGGAGGTGGCGGTGACCATTTCCCTTCCCGGACACTAGATAATCGAGTGCTGGGTAGAAGGATGACGATGTGACCGTAGGATCACGAAAGTAGCCGCCATGGACAAACACGACCCAGAACTTCTTCCCACTGGCACCGGCAAGGTGTGACTGATCGAGCTCGGGGATATACAACTCGTAAGATTGAAGGATGTTGTCCAGGGCATACTGGTGCCGTTTCATGTCGCGTTGGATCTTCTCCGACAGGTGCGGCGGTGCGCGCTCGTCCTGTCCGCTGGATCTTGGGGGTGTAGTCCCAGCTGCCGTATGGGATGGGAAGCTGTGTGCGGCTGAGCTTGGATGTGCAGAGCGGGATTGATGGTGCGAGGTGTGCTGCTCCTTGTAATATGACGGGCTGTGTTGCTTGGCCCGTTGCTGAGGTTCCCTGGTCTTGGGGGACAAATATGCTGCACCTGAATACTTCTGCTGTGAAGCCTCGAGGGCTAATGGCGCTTCCTTAGCAAATTTGGTTCTTGAGGGGCAGAGGAGCTGACTGCGTGGCGGAAAGGGGAGTTAACAATACACAAAGTGCAGGCAGCTTACCTTGATCTTGCAGGTAGCGGATGACTTTCTTCATTTTGTAGTTTATTTTCTCTCGTCTTCTCTCTCCCCCACTTTCTGATATCCAGCGAAAAGGCCTTTACACAACCCCCAGTATCACAGTATCACCTCTCAAATAATCCTTTGCCGCCGTTTGCTCCCCTCGAAAGTATACAGCCACAGGCACGGGCGACCGAGGTGATATCTTCCGGATCGTTGGGATACAATACGGGCTGGTCAATGGCGAATACCCGAGTCACAAGTATTTCCAGTCGCAAGAGACGGAGTTGAAAGAGCCTTTTACAGCCGTACGGAATGGCAATCTCAGCTGAGAAAGAGAGGCTGGAATCCCATGAGGCCTTCCAGACCCTCACAATCGCAACCTACATACATAATACCGAAACTTCCCTGACAGGGACTTGATTACTCACATCTTATTCTCCCCCATAATCCATTCACCCAAATTCCGCCACTACCCGAAGTACGACGTGCAATTAGAAATCCCCGGAGTGTGCTCTGCATCGGCTCATCAAATACGCGATCAACAAACGGCCCCATGACGTCCAAAAGTACTATACACTTGCAAAGAAAAAACCGCCTTACATATGACGAGGCAAAGACTGCATGGCCCAGGTGACACGAAGATCGACCGGCTGCTGAGGGTTCAGACTCGGCGTCAGTACCTCGTACAAAGGGTGCGAACAAGTCTGGGGTTACACCAGATACAGCACACCATGTCTGCTCCCATCTCATGTCCAGAACCCCAAACTTTTTCCATCTTGACATCTTCTATTCAAGATCAATATAGAACATGTCGCCGAGGAAATCCCGAGAATCCCGAGAATCCCTCTGTGTGATCCTGAGACACATGACGATTCCATGGAGATAATTCCTGGCAATCATGAAACAAGGAATTGTCCATTCGTACGTTGCGTATTTGCCGGCCTTCGACCGAGTCATGCGCCCAATGTCGATCTGCAGCGCTGTCCGCCAATAGTTCACACGAGAAGCCACCTACATCTCGTACCGATGTTTCAACACCGGCTTCGTACCAGGGAGACTGACGATTGGCCATGGTGCCCGATTGCTCCAGCGCCAACTCAGTTCCCAGTCGCAATAGTTCTGTGTCGAACTCGTCTAACTCGTATGCGTCCGCATTAGTAGTATGAAGTGCCTTGCTCTCACCGATGCAGTTTCCGGCGACAGCGGGCATCGCTGGTAAAAGACGTAACTCGGGATGAGCGTCTGCATGAAGAGAGACCTGGCCGTCGCCAAGTCGAACTTCCGAGTCGTCAACATGGCAAGATGGTCCTGGCCTCCCTACAAAGTCATTCCCAAAACCTTGACAGTGGTAGCCAGGGCTAACAAGCTGCTTTATGGTCGCAGACTCCCGGGACGGGCTTCGATCAATATCTTGCTCGCCCTCGCCACCCTTGGTTGAATACGGAAGCACTCGGCTGTGGTTCAAATCCGGTCCGCTCGGATGCTCCGATCTCACACCGCTGCAACCCTCTGCAGCATGATACAGGTTCTGCGAGTGCCATGGCATGGTTGGACGAGGCGAGTCTCGCTTTTCCATCGATGTGGCCAGAATGGACATATGTGATTGACTGGTCGAGGCTTGGACATCGCCCGTGATGTCTATATCATGATGACAAGCACCTTCGATGCCGGTCAGGTCTGTAGCCACCTGGATGGCTAGCCTCTTCAAGTCATTCAATGAGTAATGTCTCCGCGGTCCGTGGGAAAATTCGTCGACTCCATGTAAGAGTGCGTCGGTCGTGAACTTTTCCAGGAAGCCTTCACTATCGGAGCTCGTCGGACGAATCGGTACAAAGGCAATTGGGCTGTGGGCTTTGCGGAAACGTTTGCTTTCTGGTGTGTTTGACTGTACAACTGAATTCAATCGTTGGCGCATCAATGATACTCGGTCCTGTGACGGAGAGGCAGTTCGTGAGATGTGAAATTCCACCGAGGGCGGGGTACCTGAATATCGTCTTTCACGTCTTAACCCTGTCGATCGAGCAAAGAAGTCTGCTATTTCACAGTGTGGCGACGTGACCCTTTTGTTTCTCGACTTCTGCTCCTCTGACTTTGGAAAGCGTGCCTCGTCGTCCTGTCTTTTCCTCTTGAGAAATGCCATCTTCGAGAAGGTCAGATCTGGCAGTCCCCTCTTCCCGGCGTCGGTGGAAGTTTTTGCTTTAGTAAGAAAGCCTGGTCCAGTCTTGGAGTTGAGGGTTAATCTCTCGCTGGCCACGTTTGGGGCCTGAAAATCATGACTGAGCAGGGCCGCTGACTTTTTCTTGACCCTCTTCGAAGGGTTTTGAATTGCATCCTTGTACTCGTATCTGTCGGGTCTGGTTTTATGCCTGAGCTTCCTGGCATACTTCTCACCCGCATCCGGTACTTTTTTCTCTCCCACCCTGGTTGTACTGTCCTTCCCGTATATGAGACTTGGGCAGTCAGACGGCGGGCCAAGCTCGGCATGATCATTCTCCCTTCTCTTAAGGCGACCCTGCTCTCTTGTCTTTCCGTGCCGACCCTTGTGGCTGACTCCAATTTGTTTTGCGCTCAACAGTTGTAAGACCGGGCCCCGATTCCGTAGGGTCTCTGTCAAAATCCACATCAGCAATGTTGCACCGCAGCTCACTCCATCTCAAAGTTGGCCTTGGCCCCTCACATGGCGACAAGGTGTTATTGGATACATGCCTTCCTGGTCGAGGTCAATTGAGCCTTGTTCCACATTTAGTAGCCATTGTTGCAAATCTTTGGAGACGAACAGCACTGGTCGTCCAAGGCAAGACATCTGTTTGTCGAATCACGGACCGCCTTCATCTTTACCCAGACACAGACTTGTATGTGGCCCAAGACAAACAGCGAACCTCTTCTTCAAGAATAGAAATTGACGGATGGTGACCCTGCAACGAACACCGGCCATCCAGTGGAAAGCGCGTCCATTACCTCCCAAACAGAACTCTGCGGAAGGCGCCAGACGCTCTTGTAGGTGCAGACCGGCAGTTCAGCGCAAGACGCCCATGAGCGAATTATACTGTTCTTTGACCTGGTCGGAAACATACCGATAGTCAAGGCTGGGGCGAAAAGGAGGCCAAATGTGGATCGTAGGCACACGTAGGGCTGACTGCAGATCATTTCTGCAGGACCCCAGTCACTCCAGTCAAGCTTACATGCGATAACCTTCTCATCTTGCAGTTCTTCATGCACAAAGAAAATGTCCCAAGGTAACGTTGCGGTCATGGAGGTCCCAGCACAGTGAGGCCGAGAGGAGCCGGTCAGCCGCGGACACCTTGTGCTTGGGTAGGCAGTGGCAGGTCACTCTTGGTCCTTCTACAAGCACAATAGTCCAAAATATCTAGCCATGCTCGGCAACGGACCGGCAGACATGATGATCCCCACATTATTAGAATGTCCGGCCAAGCAATTGACGATGGGGTCATCGGACAGCGGCACAGGCACAGGCAGGAGAGAAGTCGGTGAGGAGAGATTCCACGCCTGGTCCAATCTGTAGGTCACATTTTGGGGAGGGTATTTGGGTAATATGTCCTCTCAACCTAGGCGTCAAGTTGCAGTGGTACCAGTGGAGCGTTTTCGACTTGGAGGGGGAGGAGGGAACCCAAAATGCAAGTGTGGGTTGGTCGACATGTGCTCCAGCGAGGGGTGTGCTAGTCCATATCGGAGGATTTCGTGCTTTTCTGCTAGTTATAGGCTTTGTGACCACGGTGGAGCCATTGTAGCGTCCGAGGGCTCGGAGCCTAGAGACTCGAGAAGAAGTCGAGGAGAGACTTGGGAATACCAATACCGGGAAACGAGGGTTTGGGTCAAGAAGGCAGCCAAGCTGTTGCTCCCTTTTTGAGAGTTTCGTCTTGCTGAATCCAGGTACTCTAGTGTCGGCGTTGTGCTCATATTTGACTTTGGCTGCAGGCTCAAGAGGCGTTGCGAGGGTCGCTAGAGCATCTTGGACGTTAGTTCCATGCGGCGGTCTTTCGTCGAGTCGACCTCCCACCACACAAACCTCTCAGACTCCCTCCAACCCCCCCAAGCCTAGGATCCCAGGATGCTAGAATCCCAAGGCACTGGCCGGCAACTGTGCCACTGATGAGGATTCAACTCCCCATCCACACACAACCATCCATCCACCCTTAATTGGCACGCCCGCTTCTCCATCTCTTTTGATGGCTCCCCGAGCAGACCCGGATGGATGCCCTCTATAAAGTTTGGTTCCTTAGCTTCAACAAAGCTGCACCAACCTTCATCTCTTGATTCTGAGTCAGTTGAATCTGTGATCTTGGGCGCATCCACTTACGCTAGGACCGTTACCTCTCCCTCCAAATGCTCAAAAGTCGACCCATCCAAACCCCATTCAGAAAGTGCTCGTCACACAGAGGAACCCAAATTGTCCTCGAGTATCCTCTCCTCGGCCGCATCAAGGTGAACATCTTTCCCGGAGGCGGGGTATGTCGGTGCGCAACTTTGCCAGTAGAAGTCTCTGATAAGGACATGAGGTCCAGTTCACCCAGTAGAATGCGTCGAATGATGCGGCGAAGCCCATAGTCCCGTTGGCTTTCCCGTTGATTGAGCTCGATCAATCCTGTTGCAGCCCTACCTTTGCCCAGATTCAACCAGCGGTCAAGCTCGTGGTGCCCGAACATCACCTGCCTCTTTCTGAGACTGGTTCCCCTCCCTCCCTCCACTACAACGCCTGGTGCTGACTTGTTGGCCACAGTCCAACACCGCCTAACGAATCGTTCTCATAACCTCTGAGAGCCGAAGATAAAAAGCTGCCATGGTGATCTTGATGGATGGTTTCTCGACCTTCGAAAGAGACCGCTTTGCCTCGAGGGTTTGGAAAACTTGTCATCGAAGCAACCAAGTAAATAGGCTTTCTGCCTATAGGGCTGATATGCAACTTGAGCGGTTGATAGAGACCTGCTATATCGTAGTTCCAGGCAATAAAAGGTGTCCTGCGCCAATGACTCTGTCCACCGAACAGGGCTTCCACTGTGCTGGGAGATCTCCTTGTTGGATAGGCCCACTGTTAGCCGTTCTTCCTTTGCTTTTTCGGGTCCACCGTATCAGCAGTGCCTCGACACCACCCCTCGTATTGCACGATCTTTCAACTGTCCTGACATCACCCTATCACAAGGAGTTTGCGAGTGCACCAGAGCGAGTGATTGTTGTACTCCACTCCAGCATTTTGCTTTGGATCCGGAAGTCTTTGCGCATCGAACTTTCAGGAAGTCATCTTCGCATCAACGGCTGCCCGCAAGTAGATTGTATTCGTCAGAGAGATTCGGTACCAACATCCCCGTATGCGCGGGGGACAGGTTCTCGCTCCTTCTGACAATTGGGTGCCGCTATACTTCCCAGCTGTTGACCACATATAGGAGATGGGCTTTGCTTTTCCCACGTGGTACCCTCAGAAGCCTGCCGATCTTAAGTGAGGGCATCTTGCCCGCTCTGCGGATCCCACTCAACTTCCTTTGTCACTGTTTCATCCGGCGACTTCAAAGGCACAAGGAATCGTGATATCGATGCTAGTCTGTTGTTGATTGGGGCTGAACTGCAGACGCTCTAATTGATAGATTGCATGAACCGCTGCATATTCTCGACCAATGAAATCTTCATGACAACCCAATCCTGACTATTGTCTCTTCTTCAATATCCGTGACTTTGTGCGGTGAGTTCTGGGTATCTCAGACCGCTCCCGGGGGCTTACTTTGAAGGGGGCTGAAAGTACTTTGCGACAGTACCATCTCTGGCTGTGGCCAATCGACTGCACTATGGCGAAGCTCTTCATTGGGTATGTGCCCAAAGTCTTACAAATGCAGTTGTCCCGGTGAAAATTGACGTGATCTTTCCAACAGAGGTCTTGCCTGGCATACTACCGACGAAACATTATACGAAGGGTTCCAGCAATTCGGCAAGGTGGAGGAGGCGGTAATTGATGCGTCGATGATTTGTGAGAGGGATGGCTGATGCTGTTCAGGTTGTCGTCAAAGACCGCGACACAAATCGCAGCAGAGGCTTTGGATTTGTGCGGTTTGCGACGAAAGCGGAAGCCGACGAAGCCCTTCAGAAAATGAACAACACTGAGTGAGGAGACAGGGCAGCATTCACATCCCTCGAGAAACTGACCTCTTGCGCAGATTCGACGGTCGTCTGATTCGAGTAGATCATGCCCAGGACAACAGGCAGGGAGGCGCGAGTCGCGGTGGTGGCTTCGCCGGAAGAGGTGGATACACAATACCCATGGCGCCAGGTGGTTATCAACAGCCTGGGACCCAGCCACGGAACCCGAACCCTCAGGGTTTCGGTCGCGGCGCGGCGTATCCTGCTCAATATGGGCAGTACAATCCGCAATACCCACAACCAGGCGGTCCGTATGGAGGAGGCCAGCAGCAAGGGGGCAACAACCCCTATGGTCAGCAGGGGCCTCATCGACAATAGACCAAGAAGATCGGGGACAATGACTTGATTGTGCAAAGATACCCACGAAGTCCATCCACTGATTGAACCAAGCTGTTGGTCGGAAACCGCACCGCTGAATTCCAATTCGAATGCATTGAGATCACATCACCAGAAATATCCAAGAATGTCCATACCACAAGCAATCATACTTCCTTCTCTATCTCCTCCTGCTCCTCAGTACTGTTGACTTTTCGCAAGGTATTCTCAGGTGCACACGGGCGACGCGGAAATCTATGGGGCGGAGTAAGAGCTCGCACTCGTCGCGCAAGGTCTGCGATATGTTCGTCATGGCTGTCTGGGCTCAGTTCTTTCAGGGCCTGTTCAAGATGGAGAAGGTACTCTCTATTCTCCCCACTTGGACCGATACTGGCGTTGATCGTTGCTGCAACTTCATCCGGGGGCAAAGCACCCAAGAACTGAGGGTTGTCAGGCATACCGATATAGACCAGGCAATGCAGATCTGCAAGCGAAGTGTCCGCAGGGTGAAAGGGAGTGTATTGAATGCTGTATCCATTTCTGCCCCGAGGTCAACAAGCAATTTGGAAGCGGTCAAGACGGCATACATTTCGCGAATATCGAGGTACTCTTGAACTTCCTTGACTCTTGATGGTATGATATGATAAGCGACGCCCCAAACCACGTCCCCTTCCGTATGGCGTTGCTGATGGTTGTCAGTCACACACGAAGGATGACGTTTACGCTAGGGCTGAGGTGTATGTCGTACAGGGTCGTCAAGCGTTTCCCAAAAAGACCTCTCAATCAACGTGACCACTCTTCCTGGGGCGTCAGGGGTTCCACGATGGTCCTCGCTGGGGTGCTTGCTCAACAAACGTGAGTTGATCGGTACGCGAGAGACACCTACCTTGCCTGGGTGAACGAACTCTGTTAGCTAGTGGTTGACTTGTGCTAGGTTGGTACAATGCGTCCTACCTGCCAGAAGCGTCGAACGTAACCTTTGATATACCCTGGAATCCGCTGATCTAAAGGGCATGAACTCTGGTCTGCAAGGATGCTGAGACAGCACTCAGTTCTTACCAAAATGTGGTGGAGGTTTCCATATCAGGCTCCTATTGATTGAGAGCATTCAATCAGTCGTCGCGGCCATGATGATGAAGCGAGTGAGGGACAATCTAGCTCACCCATAGCCAAAGAGCCAGAAGTCTTGATTGTGAACGGGACTCATGCTGCAACACTGACTTGTGGAACGATTTTGAGCTGTGCGTCAAAGGCGAGAACAGGACTGCGACATCGGTCGAAAAGAGGTTGCACAGGTTGGAATTCAGGTGTAACAACAACACAGCGACTTCTGATACCAAGTCAATAGGAGTATATGTAAGCAGAGCAGAAAGAAGACGCAGAGATATATAGACTAACTCGACTAAGGAGAAGGCCGTCTCTGGATGGAAAAGAGAGGCATGGATGATGAATTTCGTCTGCATCAATGGTTGCTTTCGGGAGGATCAGAGGCGGGTTCCGCTGCTTAACGAAGCCGCCTTAGTGGCACAGACGAAGACAACGACGCAAAGCCACGCGCCCTCCAGGGGGGAGCTCCGGGCCAGCAGCTGGTGGCAGCGCGGCAACTAATTAGTTAAGCAGCTTCACCATTCAACACCACCCAAACACCATCGCTAGGTAACTTAGGCGTTCTAGATACCTACGAAACGACCGCCTAGAGGGGCTAAACTTCAGGCCATCTTTGTTGCACAGAGGCCCCATGGGTGGGCTACGGATCTCTCCCGACGCCTGAAGCCAGCTGGCAGATCTCATGCACACTAATACACGCTTGCTGGGTCGACTCTCAGCAGAATGACCTGGCACACAAAATAATTCAAGCTTACTCGTCCGATATCTTACTTCAAGCCATCAACACGGTGAATGTACTCGGCCAAAGCAGACGGAAAAGATACCGACCGACTAAGAGGGCGTTACAAGCCCAATCGAGGGCGGGAGACTGAGCAAGATAGCGGAACCAACGGACCAACATCTACCACGACTGAGAGAATTATGTTAGTCATGAGTTAGTCAGGTCTGTTCGTATACAGGTGCAGTTCCGAGCTGTCAAAGGGCACCTATTGTATTATCTTGGGTGTGACGACTTTGGTCACTGGGCCGTTCGTCCAGAGGTCGTGTTTGCAGCCTTGCGATACGCCTGGCGAGCCACTCAAGCCGACCTTTTACGTTTTTGGTTACCGAGGTGAGGCTATTACTAGGACGAGGAGGTGCTCACAGATAGAAGATAGGGATAATTAGGGGGACTGCGCCCAGAAACCAGCCCCGCCAAAGTCATTCTTTGCCTGCGCCCACCTCAGCTTGGGCACCTGAGCCCCAAGAAATCGTCATCATGCAAAGAGCCAGTTTCCCAGCTGCAACTCTTTGGTCAGCCTCACAATGACCAAATATGGATCGCTGTCTTTCTCGAACAGCGTGTGATCCTCGTCCTCTTTCAGATTGACAAGATATTGTTATCCTCCTCCAACATATCTCTGATGGCATACAACAGAGCCTTCAATCCGGATGCCTTGCCTGCGTACGACTACAGACCCCTCCCCCGCTTCACTCACTGACTCTCTCTGTTCATGACAGTCACGCAGAACCCGAGCAGGCTGCGCAAGCCCTCAGTCAACTCGAAGCAAATCGCAAAGCTCTCCGTCCCAGTCCAAACCAAGCTCCTTCGAATCCGAACGCTCAGCAGCCTCCGTTGGCCGGTGGCCGTCGTCCATCCCCTGCGGGCATCCCCCAGAATTCCTATCGACCGCCTCCCGTGCAAATAAATCCACAACAACACCCAATAAACAATCAATATTATGGTGACAGCCAGTTTTCCCGCTTGCAATCACCTCCCCCAACAAGCTACGGCTACGCGTCTCGTCCGCCGATCGATCCTGCAAACGCGCGACGAACTTCGCACGAAACAAATCAATATCCGTCCAGGACACCTGCACCCCAAGATCCCGACACAGTCGACTTACAGCCTCTTTTCCGTGCTGCAAATGCATCAGGCACCGGATCACTGACGACAACGGAGCTGGGTTCGGCCCTGGTGAATGCCGACTTCACCCCTTTTGATGGGCGAACCATCTCTTCCTTGATGCGCATGTTCACCAACTCCCCTCCAAACCAGTACCTAGGCCCGACCATCACCTACCAAGAGTTTGAAAACCTTTGGCGCTTTCTGGCCGCATGGCGCGCCCTGTTCGAGAAATTTGATGAGGATAGGAGCGGCCGGATATCGCTGGCAGAGTTCTCCAAGGCGCTGACGGCGTTTGGATATCGGTTGTCCCCCCCTTTCGTCAACATTCTCTATCACACATTCAATGATCGCAGTCCCATCCAGAACCAAGGCATGAGCTTTGATCTATTTGTGCAATCGTGCATCAGCCTGAAAAGGATGACTGACGTCTTTAAGAAATACGACGACGACCGAGATGGGTATGTCACCATGAGCTTCGAGGAATTCCTCACAGAGATTCTGCGATTGCGGGACTGATCCGCGAGTCTATCAAACCTGAAAGTCGCATTTGATTCACCTTGGCTTTCCGGACTGAGAAGTCGCCTTGAATAGACTGTCTTTGGCATGCCTTGAACGCTTTTTGAGGTTGGCAACCCCAGAATATGTAGTGGAGTCTGCGTTTTTGTGTGCAAGCACGCTGCAAACAGTACCGAGTACCCCTGGCTGGTCTCCCCGCTTCAAAAAAGCGACTATTGCAATGGTCGTGGCTCATTCTCATAGTATCGTGGCCTGTACCGAGTAGTGAAACGCGAACTACCCCCGAGGATTTCCTAATGAGGCTAAGAGCGAGGCCCGAAGGAAGGGAACGAGCTTCTACTACTTGCGTTCAACGGTGGTGGCGGATACGGGTGTGCAGTTCGTTTTGACTGGCAAAACGGTCGACCAGGGTCAGCATCGTCATGGGACCAAGTTCTCGAGGTCTCAAGGCGACTTGTAACAATGCTGACTTGACATCAACCAGGCGAAGACAGGGCTTCAATGTGGCCGATGTCGCCAAAGGTGCCAATCATAGCTTATACGGACTTGAACGTCGGAGTAGCTGGCTGATTGCTGGCGAGGTGGTTAATAAATCTGAGATCGGTGGTCAAAGTGCAGAGTCCACCTGGCTTGAACCTAATCAGCTCTACTCCGCCACGTGGTGTTCTGCAGCGAAGCCTTCGAATATTCTTTGCGGAGGTTTTTAAATCGCCTGCTGTGTCTGCTCCTCGGAGGTTCCTCCTTCTTGTAGATCGGCACTTTGCAGGCGTTAATGGAGGGAACATGAGCGCCTAAGAAACATCGCTCGAGGATATCAGGCAAATTCTAACAAGGTCTTCCGGGCTCAGCCTCTAAGAAGGAAGCGGGAAGTATGAACGCACGGATAGTTAGCTGATGGCGTGGTCCGACTTTGCCGATTTCCACATTAACCGCTGGCGATCACAAGTGACGGAAAAGGGCAATGAGGGAGAAGAGCTCGATACCGAAGCCCTGGCGTGATGGGCAATGATGAAGGAGAGGGAGTCACTGTCTTTGGTGCTTCCGTGGTAGGTATCGCGTGTTCGGTTTGCTCGATAAGTCCTCCGCTCTCAAGCGATCTGTAACCCCCGTCAGCTATCGTCGATGGAGAATGGTTGGAGGGGGTCAAGGCCAAGCGCTAGAACGTTTGCTCCTGGAGACACCAGGCACATGCGGCAGTTGAGCTGGATACCCTAGAATTGGTCTAGCGAAGCGGACGCCGTTTGGGCAAAACGGAGACTTCCCACGGTTGCAGGAAAAGCCCAGTCGAAGACTCGTGGGAGGAGAGACAAGGGTGCACAACTTCTGACCCGTGATCTCTTGATCTCTTGACCCGAGTGTTGATCTTGTTTGACATTGTTTTGCGGGAATGCATGCGAAGCGAGGGCCTTTCAGTGCGACAATAGGTACCTCGTGAATGGTATGGAACCAGGGGCGTCTTCGAGACGCAGCAGATGGGTGGCAGCCGACTATCATTAATCGCGATCTTCGCTGAGTGACCACTTTGGCTCAAGCCTGTGGGTGACGCTGGCCCTAAAGGGGGGTTTTGACGGGCGTTGATGATGGAGGGGCGGGTTCCTTCTAGCTGGTGGTGCACAGCCGAGTTCTCACCAATTGCCCACTATTATTCCAGCCAGGCGTACATCAAAAGGCCCCTCGGCGTGAAGCCAGACATGCAACTCAGGATCCAACGCGCTCGCTTTGGCCAGCCTCCCCCCAGGAGCCAGAACTCCGTCGCTTCTAGCTGCTGCGCTTGTCACGTCCACCCCCGCCACAAACCACGAGTCGGGACCCTGTCTGCACCTAGTCAACCAGAAGACGGGATAGGATCCCACCCAGTTGTTTCTCCTGGTTGATCGTAGTTAGCTCGCTGCCTCCCAAGCAGGAGTACTACTACTACTCGGACTGCTACCATATTACTTCCACTACCACCATCTTAAGCCCTTCCGATTTCAAAGCTGATGTAGACAACTACCACTCTGCCACCTCCTGCACTGACAACTCCGGCCTACAGTCCTCATCTCCTCTCGCTTGCTCTACTGTCGCTTTACTCCCGATGCGCTCCCCTCCAGCCTGATTACAACTCTAGTTTACTTGCCCATGTATTCGGGTGTCCGCAGATGAGGCGCGTCAACCATGACTTCCTTCTTTGGAAAGCTGAAGAGCCAGGTGAGTCCAGATCTCTCAAATATACCCGGTGGAGGCTGCGCCAGTTTCCGTTGTCTTTGTTTGTTGGCCGCTGTGGAATAAATAGTAACTAATGGCCTGGTCTCTCCTCAGAATGCATCTTCACCAGCAGTAGGCGCGTCCACGGCCAAAAAGGACGCAAATGCGCCTTTACCAACCCCTCTCGAGCGCATGCTAGCGAATGCTGGCCCGCTTCGCAACGATGGCAGTGATAAATTCTTTGGCATGGAAAATGTATGTCTTAGTCTTGCCTGGAAAAAAAAAAATGCCTCCGTTGTTAACACAGCATCTTTTGTAGTTCGGAAACAGCTGGTCAGTGCTGAAACAACATCCACGCCGAGTGTTCTTGGTCTGATTTTCGCAGCTATTGCAATTCGATCCTGCAGTGTCTCTATTATTCGGTGCCTTTCCGAGAACACGTCCTTTCGTATCCACGCCGGTCAAACCCTGACGCCGTTGCCCATGCTCAGTTGCACGCTCCTCCTCGAGTACCGCCGAATCAACAAAACGGCGCGGCGAAGAAGCCACCCCCTGGGCCTGCATCCTCGCGAAATGCCGGTACTCCTCCTCAACAACAACAGAAGCCCGAGGATAAAGACTCGCCGGAGTACAAGAAGAAACAGGCGATTTTAAACGGCCCCATTCTGAACATGACTTACGATAACTCACAGGATTATGACATGCCAGAAAGCCTTTTTACATCGATGAAGGACATATTCGAGGCCATCGTCTTGCATCAGTCGAGGATGGGAGTCGTGAGCGGGCACAGATTTCTCGAGGTTCTTCGTAAGGAAAATGAGATGTTCAGGTCTGCCATGCACCAGGATGCGCATGAGTTTCTCAACCTCCTTCTCAATACCGTGGTGGAGAATATCGAGGATCACGACAGAAAAGTGACTGCGCAGAAGAAATCGGAGGAGCCTTCACCCGCAATTGAGCCAGCGACGGATATGGCCAGAACAGAATCAGCGACTGTATCATTCCCCTCTATATTACCAGTTCCGACAGCAAATTCTCCGACAAAGTGGCTACACGGCCTTTTCGAAGGTACACTTACGTCTGAAACCAGATGCTTGACTTGCGAAAACGTTTCCCAGCGTGACGAACCTTTCCTAGATCTTTCGGTCGATTTGGAGCAGCATTCATCGGTCACCGCGTGTTTACGAAGATTTTCCGAGGAGGAGATGCTCTGCGAGCGAAACAAGTTCCACTGTGACAATTGTGGCGGCCTCCAGGAAGCAGAGAAACGAATGAAAATCAAGCGACTTCCACGAATATTGGCTTTACACCTGAAGCGTTTTAAGTATACTGAAGATTTCGGGCGCCTGCAGAAGTTATTCCACAAAGTTGTGTATCCTTATCATTTGAGACTCTTCAACACCACCGACGATGCAGAGGATCCTGACCGACTATACGAGCTATATGCAGTGGTCGTTCATATCGGCGGAGGACCATATCATGGCCACTATGTCGCGGTTATCAAAACCCAGGATCGGGGCTGGCTTCTTTTCGACGACGAGATGGTTGAACCTGTCGACAAAAACTTTGTCCGCAACTTCTTTGGTGATAAACCGGGGCTTGCATGTGCCTACGTGCTATTTTACCAAGAGACAACAGTCGAAGCCGTTCAAAAGGAGCAAAGAATGGAGGGAAAGAGACGAGCTTCGCAAGATCTAACCAATCCCCTAGGTGTTGATGCCAATCACTCAGCCGAATTGCATCGTGTTGAGACATTCAGTCCAACGGGCTCTCCAGCGTCCACTGCAGAAGCCGCACAATACGCGGCGCTCGATCACGCGGTCACCGCGCCACCTCAATTTAAGGCCAACGGCCATGTTGAAACACCCCAGTCGCCTCCTAATTTTACCCCAGCCAGACCGACCAGTCCTGTTGTGCAAAGCAAGAAAGAAAAGGCGAAAGAGGAAAAGGCACGGAAAGCGGCAGAGAAACAGGCAGAGAAGGAAAGACAAGAAGCCGAACGACAACGCCGCAAAGACTTAGCGAACAAAATTACAGAGGCGCACAAGAGACAAGAGGCGGAACTTAAGGCGGCAATGGAAGCAAGTAAGGCGACAAAGGCCGAGGAGGATAGGCGTAACGCCCTTGAAAGAGCGCACACCGTTCAAGCAAACGGAAGTAGCCATTCAGGTCTCGATCGGTTCAAACGATCGAAGAGTCTGCGATTCGGATCCTTGACCAGAAGAGACAAGCCGCCATCGAATCCATCCGAGGAAAATATGGTTCCCTCAGTAACACCAGAGAGTGCGGATCCTCCAGAAAAAGAGAAGGAGAAGGAGAAGAGAAATCGTTTCAGCATTCGAAAGAAGTCGTTCGGCGTGTTATCATGACGAAGGCGCAGGTGCCAGCGCAGCTTCGAGTGGATTTATCTTCGACATTGGTTTGCATTGCACATATATCTTTTGACGCATTATTAGAAGCCGACGAAGCGAAACTAATGTTTGGGGATCTCGCCATGGTTGGTCTACCTGGAACTTATACTCCTGGCAGCACAAAATCGTCGATATATCTGTCCGTTGTCAGCCGGACCACCTTGGCGTGTGGATTGCACGCTCACGCTCTCGAATTTATGACTGGGTTACGAAACTTTACCATACGGTGACGGCATTTACACGGCGCCTTCATCGTCAGCATGACTTTACTCTATCCAGTGTTTCGCCATTGCTCGGTTGGCAAGCCGATATATCAGATAGACGGTCAGGTCGCGAGCATTCCTACGACGGAAAACTATGTATTCGTCTACGACGCAGCTAGTGCGTCGAAAAACAAAACACGGTCTCAGCTTGGATGATCCCGGACAAGTCAGGTGCCATGGAAGATATCGAGAGGGAGCAGGGCCGATAAGGTCCAGTTCGAGAACCGGTTGACAGGGCTCGTGGGCACGTGGCTTTGCGTGGCCTGTGTTGGCTATGCCGTGGTCCAATCCGATTATGGCGGGACTAAAGACATGAGGACTTCCGACTTGGAGATGCGAATGATCCTGACCTGCGTGTTGAATACTCTTGCCATTCTCGCTGGTGGCCAAGTGAAAAGTGCGGAGCGTTTCGTTTAATGAAGGTGAAAACACATTTAAAAACCTACAGGGGGAGCAATATCAAAAATCGCATATAGGTGAAAGAAAAGAAAACAGAGACGATCATGAATATAGATCTGGCCAGAAATATTAGTCCTCTGAATTCATTTCGGGCGCTGGTGTCTTGATGTTCCCCGGACCGTGTTTTCTTTGCTTGCCCAACATTCCCATAGGCCTCAGGTAGTTGGATTGACATCCACGTCCGGTTGGGCATGTCCCCGGTCTGCCACGCAGAGGTGGACGGAGCCTCGCTCAGGGACTGCAGCCAGACAAGACTCCTGCATTTCCACCGCCATTCGTCGGTCACGGTCTGCTTTTACTAGGGAGCAGTACACGGTGAGCTCACCCCTCTCGCAGCGTTCCGGGGCTGGTGAGCACGCCCGCCAAGACGGGTGTGGTGCAGCGCTGGCTCGGACTCGAAGCTGTGCTCGATCTCTGCTTCAGATCAATCTACCTGGTGGCTCGACGAGTCGAGGGTCGGCTGTTTTCGAGATCCAACAAGGCCGATGACGGCTTATGGGGCGAGCTGGCTCTGAAGGCGAGATCGGCCGAGTGATTCAGTGTCAGTCCGCCGCCACGAGCGGACGATATGCGACATTTCTATCTCTCGAATCTCGAGTTTTAGGCTTCCAGCGACTGATACATCCGTGTCTGATATTCTTTGCCCGATTCGTTCGTAGTATGGGTTGTAGATGTGGCGTTGGAAAAGGGGGTCTGTATCATTGAGCAGGATCGCTCTGCTTGCAAGTGTCCGTGAATCTGATAATTTGCTTTTTTTCTCGGTTCGTGTGGCAGGCCAACTGAATGACCCGGACTCCTCATGAACTGTGGCCCGTTGATTCGGTGGTGGTGGTGGTGGTGGTGGTGGTGGTGGTGGGAGCTGATATCATCCGAGCATAATTTCGTAAATGATAATCAAAGAATTCACCAGGATCAGCGGCACTGTTTCCATCCCCCCAATAAAGAGCATTTGTTAGCACAGTTCAGAATCACCACCAGGCGGGAAAACCTTCGCGGTCACGCCCCTAAAGTAGCATGCCAGGCCAGGTCATGTTGGGAGGTGTACTAACCTCGACATAGCGTGCGGACACTCGAAATCAGGTTGATGCCTTTGCTGCGAAAGCTCTCCGGGTCCTGACCGGGAGCACCGAACGCAGCGCCGGCAGAAGGGTCGTTCAAAGAGGTTTTGCCCCAGCCAACTGTTTACGCCAAGTTTGATCCGTTAGCCCTTTTGTATTTTGCTTCGTCTTGATCTTTCCTGAAGGATGCGCGGCGCGAGACAGAAACAACAGTGGGGGAAAGAGAGAGAGAGAGAGAGTATGAAGAATGCAAGATCGGTGAGATTCGGGGCTGGACGTACTTCGAGCGAGGAAGCGGTCTTCAGACAGGATTGCGATGGCGTTGAGAAGAAGGCAACTCGCTGATGCAGAAGACGGTCGGTTAGTGTCACAATACCAACTGTAAGAGAAGGGGATCTGGTCTGGTACTTACCGTAGATGAACGGCCCGAAGCCAAAGAGACTGAGCATTTTTGTCGGTCTTGGTAGGACGGGTTTAAACGTCCTATGCGCAAGGATGGATGCGACAAGAGAGACACTATCCTTTGAAGTCACAGCTCGAGCATAGGATCTGCGGTGAATGAACAGGGGACGGTCGAAGAAATATCCAAGTGTTGACGATGTTGAAGCCACGAAAGCATGATCGGCGCAGGGAACATTATACGGCCGAGCATCCGAGCCAACGTGAGCCAACCGGTTGGTAGAATGTGTCCCAAGTCCCAATCACGAGTTCTCACTCAGCTACGGAGTACCGAATACAGATCCATCGAAGATTGTAAAATCTTACCGCTGTCCACATATTTATATATCTGCCCCTATCTGCCATATGCAAGTGGGCGACGGGCCGGAAAAGGATATCAAAGACATGGGATTAGCCCCATCGGGACATTGCAGCTTTGATATCCCAACCTCATTGGGAAACCTCTTTCGGAAACCCGCTTCCTATATCATGCGTCTCAGTGCACCGAGTACAATCCCTTCCCTGTCAGCCTCAGTGGCCTTACCGGACTCAGATACATGATGTCTCCTGAGAGATACCTCTGCGACCAAATTCTAGCTCAATAGACTCCATCAGATATCGCAGATGAATATCTTTTTTTGAGAAGCCGAGGGTATCATGGACCGAGTCGTGGGATCTTCCATCTCCGCACCACTCATGGCATGCGAACGTCGATAGCGTGCGCAGGCGGGGTCGGAGCTGCCACATCTATCAACTGACTCAGATAAAGAAGGAATGCAGCAGGGCTGAACAGTCTATATAAGACGTCTGGGTGTGCATGTTCCATCTCCTATCTCCTCTCCATCCTCCCAAGTTATCAAGAGTTTTGCCAGAACACCATTAAAATCTGATATCCCCTGCAATATCGGTCGCATACCATCCACCATGTCTGGAATGCTCCAATCTGTCACCGACCTCCCCCCTGTCAAGCGACGCATAGCAACCCACGATGCCAACGGCAAGAGCGTGTATCTGGATTCGCCCGCACAACAATACTTCCCTGTCCCGAACGTCGGTGGGCTTGCCCGTTCCTTTTCCGTGTCGTCGGTCCCAGCCAAACTCGAAAACGACGAAGATGTGAAAGCGTATCTCGGCACGGAGGGACCGACAAGCTGGACGTCCCCAAACATTGTCACACCAAACGGAGTGAACCTGCTCATTGTCGATCTGGCGCCTGGAGGGTCGAGTGTGATGCATCGGACCGTGTCCATTGACTTTTCTGTCTGTGTGATCGGGGAGATTGAGCATGAGTTGGACGGTGGAGAGAGGGTCTTGTTGAAGCCAGGGGACCATATTGTCCAACGAGGCACCATGCATCGGTGGCACAACGCCTCCAAGACCAAGCCAGCGAGATTCATCGCCACCACGGTCTCTTGCGTGCCATTCGACATTGCTGGCAAACAGCTGGAGGAGATTCACCTTCCGCCGGATTCGCAAGAGAAGTTGTAACTTCTAACAGGATAGCCAATGGCAGGAATGGCCCGCCCATCAAATAAACATCTACATTCGCTTCTCGTTCCACTGTGTTTCTGCCTCACCTGTCTCCACTAACTGCCTCATATTCACTGCTCTCCAGGCAATCACATGCCAATCAGAAAATCACAACCATATTAATTGCAATCCCAGAAATCTCTCCAACATATCCCAACAAAGAAGTTCACACAGCGGTAAAGAGACCTATAATACCTGCGATCTTCGAGGGATCATGTTCGGGAAAGTTTAGTGGGTTTGGTGGGAGGGGCCTTTCCAGACGTGGCCGCTGCTTAGCAGTAAGGTCTCGCCACGTCAAAAACCGAAGAAGTAAGATTCCATCTTACGGAGTAGGTCATAGAACCAATACAGTGGCTGTTGTAAGATTGCTCGATAACGCTCACCACCGGGGTGAGGACAGGAGCCGCAACACCTACTGAGGTTCGAGTGGGAAAGGTAATATCAGCTTGGTCGGATTCACTAAACTTTTTGCCATTTGAGATGAAGAAGTATTCAGTTCGATTCCCAGATGAATCAAACACTTCTTTTTTTGTAGCCACCGTGATTCAGGGATTGTCCATGTGTGAAGTGAAAGGTGGTGGTTGAAACAGTATCACAAGGCTGTGGGGACAAGGCTGAAGCTACATCATATACCCACCCATCCATCCTCAGCCTCTGTCAACCTCATTCATTATCACTCAAGTACATGTTGATCCTCCTAATCAACTGACTGTTGGCACTCCTGAACAAAGAATGAGCATGAGTCGACTCGAGCTCTGGCATTCATCCTACTTTCTTTTCCCATTTCTCGTCCTGTGCCACCTGTACATCTCCCCCTATACCAAAGTCGAAGAATCCTTCAATATCCAAGCTGTCCATGACATACTGGAATACGGCGTGCCTACCCATAACGCAAATGTCAAATTCAAGGCCCTCTATGACCATATGACATTTCCTGGCGCCGTGCCTCGGACATTCATTGGGGCCGTGGTTCTAGCAGCCGTCGCGAGGCCGTTTGTTTGGCTCGGAAATCTTGATGGGAGACAGCAGCAACTACTCGGTGAGAGAGACACACAGCATCCAGGATCGAACCGTACTGCCATACATTTTTCATCACTGACTCTGGACAACCTAGTCCGCTCGATTCTCGGTCTCTTCAATGCAGCTGCTCTCACATACTATGCATCAGGTGTGAGGCGAGCTTATGGCAAGACTGCCGCAGCTTGGTACACCATCCTCCAAGCAAGTCAGTTTCATGTCTGGTATTATTCGTCGCGGACATTGCCCAACATGTTCGCCTTTGGGATGAGTATGTGGCCCGCAACCACTCCGTACCGACTAGGAGACTGCTAAAACAATGACCGTCCAGGCACGATTGCACTCTCCCTCCTCCTCCCGGTGACACCGTCGACCACAGAATCCCTGATCAAACGAAACAAGCTGGCACTATACCTCCTCACCCTCGCAGCTATCATATTCCGCTCCGAGATTGCTCTTCTTCTAGGCTGTCAATGCCTTTACATGCTGCTCCGCCCGGGGTTCAACCTCCCCGTGGCCATGTCCCTGATCCGCAAGATCTTCATCCCGGCCATCCTCACCGCGACGGTCACAGGCCTTTTGTTGACCGTGTCTGTCGACACCTTTTTCTGGCAGTCGCCAAAACCTCTGTGGCCCGAACTCGTGGCCTTCTTGTCCAACGTCTTCCCACCGGAGGGTGGCCTCGGGGCCTCTGCTTGGGGGACGAGCCCATGGCATTGGTACTTTACCAACGCCCTGCCGCGGCTTCTAATGAATCCCTTGGTGGTGGTGCTGATACCTGCCGCCTTCATTTACCCCGGCATAGCTACGTCGAGCTTGGACCCCGTAGTCCCCTCGATGGGCTATGTCTGTTTATATTCGTGCCTCGCCCACAAAGAGACACGCTTCCTCTTCCCCGTCATTCCCCCATTGACAGCAGCAGGCGCCAGAGTCGCTGCTCACATCTCCACCCTCGGCGATCGCCATCTGCGCCACTACCTCGTCACAAACTTGATCGTCCTGACTACAATCCTCACCGCGCTTCTCTCCCACTTGTTCCTCCTCCCGCTGTCTGCGCAGACCTACCCAGGCGCCCACGCGCTCTCGTGTCTGCACGCCCTCTCGCTCAACTACCCGCCCCAACCGACCGTCCGCGTGCACCTGACCAACCTCGCCCTGCAGACGGGGGTGACGCACTTCCTCTCCACGCCGTCGCTCACCAACTCGTCAGGCCACGGCCGGCCCGTCTTCTACCTCCCCGGCTCACCGTCGGGCGACAAGCCGGCGCTCGTGTCGACGCTGCGCACACGCTGGGTCTACGACAAATCGGACAACGAGACCGACCTGCTCTCCCCGATGTTCTGGGCGCGGTTTGACTACGTCGTCGTCGAGGACCCCGCCCGCGTCATCGGCCGCTGGGACGTCGTCGACAAGGTCCCCTCGCTGGGACCTCTGCGCCTCGTCGGCCCCGACGTCGGCAGGGGTACGCTGGTCCTGGGCGGCAGGGGCGAGAGGAGGGAAGACGACGCCCTCTCCCGCCTCGTGGACGCCATGTACGGCGACAAGGTGAAATGGTTGTACGGAGTCGTGCACGACCTGCTCAGGGAAGGATATGGACTGCACAAGGTGCTGGGTCGGCGAGCGAGTTGGACAAAGGGTTGGTGGGTGCACTGGGGGCTGGAGAACAGGTTGTACATTCTAAAGAGGGCACAGTAGTTGTAGCAGTAGTAGGAGGAAGCGGAGGAGAGTGGCGTTTTCACCATCAAGATGGTCCATGGCATGAAATGGTAGACACTTTTCTTTTCTGGGTTGGTCTCCTCTTTTTATGATGCTGAGGAAAAAACCCTTTTTTCCATCCATCTATCCGACCAGGACACCACCACCACTCGTCTCGTTTCTCACCCCATTGGTTACCTGTTCACCTGCTCACCTGCTCACCTGCTTCCTGCTCTTATCTCTGTTCCAACGTCCCAATCCGGGCCTCGACCTCTCTGACTCTCCCTCCCAGAATCTCGACGTTGTCCTTCATGACGCCTTCCAACTCGGCCATGCCCTTCTCGACCGTGTCGACCGCTTCCCTCCACCGGGCAATCTCCTCTCTGGTCTCGCCCTGGCGCTTCTCCAACGCGTCCACCAGGGCCTTGGCCTGTGCCGCGCCGTCATGGATCACGCTCAGCGTCCGCAGCCGCTCCAGCACGACGGGCAACAGGGGCTGCAGGTCCTGGATGGTGGGGAGGACGTTGTACAGCGCCGTGATCTTGGAGGATTGCTCGTCCAGGAAGAGCTTGCTCTGGATCTGCAGAGATTCCTCGCCGGGTCCCGCCGCGGCGGCGGTGGCGGCGGCGTCAGCCATGTTCTCTCCCGGTTTGCTCTCGACGGCGTGCGCGTTGGATGCCGCGGCGGCCGCGGCGGCGACACTACTGCTGGTGGTCGAGAATCCCCGAAGGCGAGGGCGGGTGTTGGAATGCACCGTCGCCGAGACGAG